AAGACACAGCATAGAAACAGACTCAATGCTGCACCTGATGTGAACACACCTACAAAAAGCAGACGGGCCCAACTATCTCATTAGAAAATTTCAAATGTTAAGACATGTTTTGTATAATTTTTAATCTTTTTGTAATTATTTTGTTGACTATTTTGTTCCAATATTGCTGGTTCAATTCAAAGAAAAAGAAATGGACTGCATTTAATGTCCAAATAGGCGACTTATGGATTGTTTTATTGTTGGTTCTATTACTGTTTTTCATTGTTTAAAACTTGAGTAATAATAATTGTTCAGAGAGACACGATCACTCAGTCAACAATAAAATATCCTCATTAATGTTCAATAATAGTCAAATCCACCTTTATTTTGTGATTTACAAATAATGTCTATTGACTTGGGTCATGAAGGTTTGTGACTTTTAAAATATGGGTTCCCAGAAAAAAAAAATTGGGAAACACTGGTCTATGGCCCCTTTAAAGATGGTTTAATTATCCACTTTTATTTACTTATTCATCCATTTTTTTCATTATGTTTTTAATAGTAAGTAATTTGAAGCATGTTGAGTTCGGTAGCTTTATGTTTATTATCTGAAAGTCCAAACCTATTCTACCCCGATGCCATATTTATAGCATCTGTCACATGACTCTAATCGACCAATCAGAAACCACCTTCCTCCACAAAGACCCTCTATAGAAAATGATATAGAAACTGATTACAAAAAAAAGATATTGTGATTCGTTTGAGCGTAAACTCATGACCCCAGTGAATCTTCTGCTCCTTCTGACCCTCTCCTCTTCCTCCATCACGACACATAACGTCACATTATGCCTATATGTACTGTATACTTTCCACTTTCTTGCAGTTCAGACGTAACATCCTTCTGCGTACTGCCTATATATTCACTATCTGTAAGCGTGTCTCAATAATTACTATATCTGCTTCAATACATGATAGATGGAACAATATTTTTTGTGGTTCAATATTTATCATGTGTATAAGTTCTAAGTAAATGTGGGGAGATGTGGGGTATTTTTGTTGTAATAATGTAAGATTTGCGCTACTATTGGTTCATTCTGTTATCTCCATGGAGACAAGCAGGCGACGTATCATCCTCTGGACAAGTTACGCAATGCACCTTTAATGATACTGTCTATTTAAAAAGTGTTTACTGGGATTATCTTGCTTTATTGTTACTGTGTCAGTGGTCTAAAGTAGTTTCATTTTCATCGCTAACTGTGGTCCATCTTTATATATTTCTGTCTCTATAACAATATACCGTGCTTCAGAGTTTGTTACTGTGAACGGCCGACACTGCCCCACCTCAAACCATCTCCATCTTTGTACAAGCTCAACAAATCTGTGTATCATTCGTTCATTGGTTTTTCAAAATAAAACCAAAAATAAGAAAACAAAAAACACATACATTTTCTTCATTATTTGTCTCCAAAAGCAAAATGATAAAAACGGATAACGATTCCTTTTTTCAGTTTTCGGTTTTATGTTTAAATGAATAATGGAAAAAACGGATAACAGACGTTTCTCGTTTCTGTGACTTAAACTGCGATGTCAGACTTTAGCGCTGATCCAGGACTGAACCAGGACTAAAACAGGACTCACCAGGACTAAACCGGGTCTCAGTCCCGGTCTCGGTCCTGGTCTCAGTCCCGATCCCGGTCTGGTCCCGGTCTCAGTCCTGGTCTGGTCACGGTCTCAGACTTGGTCTCAGTCCTGGTCTGGTCCTGGTCTCAGTCCTGGTCTCAGTCCCGGTCCGGTCCCAGGCTGGTCATGGTCTCAGTCCTGATCACCCAACTCCAACTCAGTATCGGCTTAGTCCTGGTTTAGTCCTGGTTTAGTCCTGGTTTAGTCGTGTTTTAGTCCTGGGATCAGTCCTGGTTCAGTCCATATGCGGCATAAAAGTCTGGCATCGCGGTTTAAGTCAAGGAAAAGGGGAAAAAGCTGAGCCGTTTTTTCATTATTCATTTAAACACAAAACTGAAAACTGAAAAAAATGAATCATTATTCGTTTTTTCATTTTGGTTTTGGAAACAAATAATGAAGAAAATTGTTGCCTTTTCATTTTATTATTATTATTTTTTTTTTTCATTTTCTCACTTTAGGTTTTATTTGAAAAACGAATGAACGAAATGATTCACGGATTTCAGCACATCATGGTCTCCTTGCAAATCCTATTCTCAGTCTTAACATGAGCAAAATAATGGGGACTTTACTGCTGTGCTCCCGTCTGATCCGATTGCCTCATGTTATTTCATATTAAGAGAAGAGTTTCTAATTAAAGAGATACTCAAGTGTGATCCCTGCAGCTGGAAACTCTACAGCAGCTCCTCATTAAAAACAAAAGAGACGGGAATAACAACCACTGTATGAAATCCAATGTAACAAGGCAGAATAGGGGAAAAAGAGGGGAAAACTACTTTAGTATTTTTCAGTGACACTTCAGTGAGGAGGGTGATATAGGATAGGATGGAAATTTTTAAAAATGCAAGAAGTGTTGTTAAAAAAGGATAAAAGGTGCACTATGTAACATTTCTGGTGGAGGGTCTGCCACCTGATGTCTCCATGGAAATGTTATTGCTTGTCGAGAATGTCCCACAGTATAGACTAAACCTATCTATTACAAGGAAGACAAGCAGGTTACAGCACTACGCCACATTACAACTCAGATCTGTGGAGCGTCGCCCCTATTCAAAGAAGGAATTATTGTATTTTTGAGCAATAGAAACACCCGTAATGAATAAATGCTAGGTGGAAATGTTTACAGTCATACCATGGAACATCTGAAGCATAGCAATAACATCTCCATGGAGACAAGCAGGTGATGGACCCTCCACCAGAAAAGTTGAGCACTGCACCTTTAAACTTGGGCATATAATAGTGCATAAACTATATAGCAAAATTTCATCTTATTAGGTTATTTTTTCAGACCAAGAGTTTGTTTTCATACCTGACAGTTTCGACTCTTCCTCAGAGTGATCACAAAATACGGAAACATGCCCACGGGACTATAAACCAGGAAGAGGGGCTTTTTTACTCTCACACACCTGGGATATTGTCCTGAGGAAGTCGGACTGCAGATGGCGCTGTCATCCTGCCTCCACTGGTAGGAAGACAGCGCCAAAACCTGTATAAATCAGCTGACCGGACACATCACAGCAACATCACGTGACCACTCAAACTGTCAGGTATGAAAGCAAAACTCTTGGTCTGAAAAAAGAACCTGATAACACAAATTATCAGAAGACCAAATGAACCTCATTGGACTAGTAATATTTCAGTAATATTAAAGTTGTTTTTTAGATTGTTTGCAATAGTACGTGAACCTCAACAAGACATTTTAACGTGGAGCACATTTTTAGAGACTTGCAAAAATATCAAATTGTTATCAAGATTATCTAAAATATATATTATGCACAATCCTAATCTTTCAGTTATTTAATGTTGGCAAAGCTATAAATAATTAGATACTGATCAATACTTAAACTAGATACTCATTTGGGCATTCACAGGACACAAATTAATCTTTCCTGAATCACTTTAGAATTAACTTGAGTTGTATCAGAACAAAAATAAGCGCACATGGACCACTGTGGAACCCAGATGGACCACTGACGGATTACATAAATATAAGACCACATGATAATATAAAGAAAGCTGAAAATCACACTAAACCGACACAGTATATTGAAGTTCCATTTTTTCACAAAAGAGATTACTGAATATATTTTGATATTCTCGCAAAGTCCTGGTTTAATTCTGTTATAAATCTGATTCCACATCTCCAGACCGCAGTGCCAACAGTTCATATTATATTAGTCCTCTACATTGATCCATTTATAATCTAATGTGTGACCATCAGCCTGAGAGCAGCTTCACCACCTCATTAGCACCAAGTCTGCCTGTGACTGTTCATACCAGCACTTACTGTTACGCACATGCAAAAATACGCCCCAGTACTGTACAAGTCTTCAGGACAAAATGCAAAAAGGAAACAGTGAAAGCATGCACACGAGAAACTAAATACAAAGAACAGAAGCAACTCAAATCAGCCATTTCTGATCAGTGTCAAAGAGAGAACCACATTATGGACTGGGATGGTGCAAACATCATTAGACATTATAGAGGACAACAAACATCGCCACTGGAATAAGAAGGCAATCAAAATACATAAACATGCCCATGGGACCATAAACCGGGATGAGGGGTCCTTTTTACTGTCTCACATTTGCCTCTATTTATAGGAAGACAGTGGCAAAACCTGTTTAAATGAGCTGACCAGACCACTCTGAGGGAGTGGCTGTGCAATTAATCGAATTTTGATTGTTGATTTGATTTCAATCTGTGTGTCAAACAATCTCTAAACTCATATAATCAAGTTGAAACGATAAAGCTTAACTTAAGTTTATTTTGGGATATTTTTTTATATAAATAAGTATTTTTTTTAACTATAGAGATTGTAGAACACCTGGATATATAGTTTATTTTGGATACATTTATGTTTCTCTATGCCGTATTTCATGTTCAAAGTATAGTTTATTCATTTTATGTTTTATACATCGCAAAACTGCTCTAAGGTACATATTTGTAGCCTATATTTATCTTCAATTTGAAAGTTTTGAGTAAATTAACAATAGCAAAGTAGGGTTTTCTTGAAAGAGAGAAATGCTGAATAAATGCATCCTGTAACTAAAAAATAATCATGTAAAGAATAATGATAATTTCAATATTGACAAAAATAATCATGATAAAACAGTTTTTTTTTTTTCTATTATCGAGCAGCCCTATAGTGAGCAGTCGAAACTGTCAGGTAATCTAATAAAATTAATTCTCGGAAGACCAAATGAACCTCGTTGGACTAAGTCTGTAGCCTGTTATGCTCAAATACACTTCAGTATGATACAAGTCTGGTTCAGTCCTGGTTTAGCGCGGGTTTAGTCCTGGTTTAGTCCCGGTTTAGTCCTGATTTAGTCCTGGTTTATTCCTACCTTTATCTGTCCCTCATTCCTGTGTACTCCTCATGTTGTATGAAGTATAGTTCCAGTGCAGTGTAGTTTATTTAAGTAGTTCTTTCTGTTACATTGGCTGTTAGTTTTGTGATAGTGGGTCCAGAGTCCAATTTTACGTCACAGATCCAGGGCGTGGACTGGTTCTTATCATCTACATTCAACAAAAGGACTAGACAAGGACTAAAGCAGGACTAAAGAAGGGCTAGATAAGGACAAAACCAGGGTTAAAAAAGGAGTAAACAAGGACTAAACCAGGGCTAAAAAAGGAATAGATAAGGACTAGACCAGGGCTAAAGAAAGACTAAAGAAGGACTAGATAAGGACTAAACCAGGGCTAAAGAAGGAACAGATAAGGACTAAGCCAGGGCTAAAGGAGGATTAGGTAAGGACTAAACCAGGGCTAAGGAAGGACTAAAGAAGGACTAGACAAGGACTAAAGTAGGACTAAAAGAGGAGTAAATAAGGACTAAACCAGGACTAAAGCAGGAAAAAAGGAGGACTAAACCAGGACTAAAGAAGGATTAGATAAGGACTAAACCAGAACTAAAGAAGGACTATTTAAGGACTAAACCAGGACTAAAAGAGGAGTAAACAAGGACTAAAACAAGGCTAAAGGAGAAGTAAACAGGGACTAAACCAGGACTAAAGAAGGACTAAAGGAGGACAAAACATAATGGTAAAAAGGGCACATTTTCATATAGCACTTTTCCACCTTCAAGGCACTCAAAGTGATTTACATCAAGAAACCACTCACCCATTCACACACACATTCATACACCAGTGTACGCAAACACTCAACCAGGACTAAAGGAGGATTAAATAAGGTCTACAGCAGGACTAAACCAGGTCTAAAAGAGGTCTAAACAAGGACTAAACCAGGGCTAATGGAGGACTCATCCAGGTTTTATATTTTTAATCTGAAAACTTAAACTTCTTCATGACTCTTGCTTCTTCATCATCTGGTCGTGCTCTGGGGCAAACTGACAGATGTGGAGGCAGCACCAGGCTCCAACCACTGATCCCCCAGTCTCACTCAATCATTGATGCACAAGTTAAGCGCCCTGAAGGTTTGGCTTGAAGGTGCACTGTGCAACTTTTCTATGTTATGTTACTATGTTACTGTTTTGTCTTGAATGTCCCAGTATGGCATTAAACACATCCATCTCAATATATAAATATGTGTTTTTTACTGACCTAAAAACTTGCATTCTTACTATGAGTGAGCTCGCCTCTTCACAGATCACGTAAACGGACCATGTGGTGCCAACAGCAGTCTCCGTACAGCTCACTGAGTGTCATGGCATACTGTGGAGCATTCCAGGCAGTATTTCCATGAAGAGAAGCAAGTGATGGACTCTCCACCGGAAAAGTTACACAGTGCATCTTTAAGAGAACAACGGTAGCATAAAACGTAATGGAGATCAAACTAGGACAGCAAGATTAATTGCAATCGAAACGAAATCGCAATTTGAATCGTCGCAATTAACAAATCACAAAGACCCTGTAGTTTGAAATGCATATTATTCTTATATTAGTTTGTCAGAAAAAACACAATTACCAGTTACTGTCACTAAAACATAGATACTGATACAATTCTAAGTTGTTATTCCATGTGTGAGCAGTGGTTTTAAAGGATTAAGAATGTGTAATATCATAATACACTATACTGACAAATACAAGGTCACGTGACTGTGCTGTTAAAGGACAGTATGGTGCATGTCCTGGTTTCATTGCTCTTATGCATAGACTCGATAAGCCTATATAAATGGACCTAGCTAACCCACTATAGCCTGATTTATCAGACGGTTTCACTTCAGGGAAACCGTCTGACTTCGTATTATTAGGATTTGTTCACTCAGTGGTAGGCGGGTACTTTTTATTTAACCAATTGCTGCTATTTGATCTTGGCGTATGTAATGCACCAAATCCCGTAGGAAGAAGGACAATAACGTCTTTCCCCTTGATAAAATTCTCCAAACATTCTCCTTGTTCCTGCTTTAAATCCTCGGTCTCAGAAAACATTGTCAGCACAGAATGTATGGCTTCGTCTACATCCATCTCGACCACTTTGTTTACTGCTGTGCTGTACCACAAAAGGGACCCAGACAGGTGCTTGAGTTTGATGTCATGGCTCCACAGCTCTTCACAGCTCGGCGCGCGGTCTACGACTTTCAGGATTCTTGTAAACCGTCTAATGTATTCCGATTCCTGACCTAGTCGCTGGAGAGAAATTAAATTGAGTGGAGGCACTAGGTGGCGCCAGCCTGGCTAAACCTACTAGCCACTGTGTTCCAAATAGGAAGTGAGCATGGGGACACTTCCGGCTCCATCAACTCTTATTAACCCACTCAACATGATCCTGGTGTTTTTATTTTGCTATTTTCAGTAAGTAAATTCCTATTCCTAATATGGAACTCAGCTCCAAATTCACCCAATAACCGCTGGCCTTGTGAGCTTCATTTGACTGGGGCCAAACACTATGGTCGACTTCTTTATACAGTCTATGGTCCTAGCTACATAGATGTTAAAATGCATTCTTTATTCAACATTGACTGACAGATAAATTTTGTTTTCTTTATTTCTCATTTTGCAGAAGGCTTCTCAAAATTATCAAAAATCTGATACTAATTGATACTGAAACTAGATACTCATTTAAGCAAGTATCACAGGACAGAAATGAACCTTTTCCTGAATAGCTTTAGAATGATCTTGAGCTGTATCAGAACAAATATAAGAGCACATAGACTTGTATGTGCACATCGACCACTGTGGGACCTACCTGGACCACTGAGGGATTACACACATATAAAGCCACATGGTAATATAAAAGAAAATGCTATGATTTAATGTTGAAAATCACATTATATTGTCTAAAAAAAATGTGTTTGTTATTATCATTGTGGTATCGGAATCGGTAATTGAGTATCGAGTCTATTCCTTAGTATCAAAATCAAGTTTAAAATGTTAAATATTGTGACAAAACGTTGCAGTACCTCTGTAGAATTATAATAGAAGTCAAATTGTTCAAAAAAACAGAGACTTTATGTGAAACTGGCTGTTCAATGAGCAATTGTACTTGACTTGTAGGATTGAGATGTGGAGCAGTATTTTTCCTTGTTCTGGGTAAAAGTAACAATCCTGAACCTGTTTCTGTCTGTGCGTCTCTCGCTGCTGGATTTAATGAGGCTGAACTCTCGCTCTCTGTTTGAACTATAGGATCTTTCTCTCTCCTGCTCTCTCACTGTATATCTCAGTGCTCTCTCTCCTTTCTCCTTTACTCATCTCTTTCTCTCCTCTTCTATTGCCCTGTATATCTCTGTGCTCTCTCTCTCTCTCTCCTTTCTTGTTTACTCATCTCTCTTCTTCTCTCTCCCTGTATATCTCTGTGTTCTTTCTCCTTTCTTCATCTCTTTCTCTTCTCTTCTATCACCCTCTACTTGGGGTCTCTCTTCTCTCTTTACCTGTATTTTGAGCTCTCTCACTCTCTTTCTCACTCCATTATCCTCTGTCTCCCTGCCTCTATTTGAGCACTTTCGCTCTCTCTCTCCATCTCTATCTATCTATCTATCGCTCTATCTGTGTTTGAGCACTTTCTCTCTTTCTCTCTCTATTTCAGCACTTTTTCTCTCTCTCTTTCTCTCACTCTCTCTATCTATCTTTCCCTACCTCTGTTCGATCTCTCTCCCTATCTGTATTTGAACACACTTTCTCTCTTTTCTCTCTCTATCTGTATTTGAGCAGGCTCTTTTTATTTCTCTTGCTCTCCCTACCTCTTTATTAGCACTTCCCCTCTCTCTCTTTCTCTCTCTCCCTCTCTCCCCCCTATCTGATTTATCTGAGCACACTCTCTCTTTCTCTCTCCCTACCTGTATTTGAGCGTTCTCTCTTTCTCCCTCTCTCTCTATCTTTCCCTACCTCTATTTGATCTCTGTCTCTCCCTACCTGTATTTGAGCTGTCTCTTTCTCCCTCTTTTTCTCCCTCTTTTTTCCCCCATACCTGTATTTGAGCTCTCTCTTTCTCTCTCTGTGTCCCTCTTTCCTTCCCTCCTTAAACTGTATTTGAGCACTCTCCCTCTCTCGCCCTCCCTTTTCCTGCCTGCCAGTATCTCCGTGGAGTGTAATGAGGCTGAACTGTGACTTTTTGACACAAAAGACCAAAATAACTCGGACTAAGAAAGAGAGAGAGAGACAGAGAAAGAGAAAGAAAGAGAGAGAGAGAGAGCTCCTTCAAATTCAAGACTCCAGCTTCATCTGCAGCTCAGCCAAAATATGGGCCATTCTTTTTTGTATATAATGTGAAAAAACAACAGATTAGCTTTATATGTATTCCTTATTTTCTTCACTCCGCTGTTACATTTTATGCCGCAGCAGCCCTGGGGCAGACTGACAAAGATGTGACTGCCAATCAGCACCTGTGGCCTTGTTTCAGGTTGATAGAGGAACTGGAAGAAATACTTTCTACTAATCTACTAATCTTTTATTAAAGGGTTCATATTACACTATTTTCAGATCTGTGTTATAATGTTGTTTTCATATCACAAACACACCTGGAGTAGGGTTGGGCGGTAATACGGGATTATAGTATCCTGTGGTATCAAAAAATAGCAAAGGTGTCAGTTTCATCACCGTCATTAAAAAAATCGACAGTGGAATATAATATTATAATTTATTGATACCTAAATTTGTTTCAATTTTTCAGCACAAATGAATGTGTGGTTGTATTTTCAATGGAATGCTATCACGATTTAAAACTAATAGTGTCTATAATGTTTCTTTTAACCGTGTGGGGAGATGACGTTCGATTAGTTTCATTCCATTGTCACGTGATGCTCATAAGGGAGAAAAAGACAAGATGGCAAGTCTGGCTGCAAGATAGTTGGTCCCTCCCCCAATAAATACTGGTAATTCTGCAATTTGGCAGCATTATAGCTTCAGGCGCACATTTGTTTACGTTTTACGAAACTTAAAACCACATGGCTCATTTGCATAAACTATAAAGAGCTGATAAAAAACAGCTCGTTCCTTGTGCGCTGATGCGGTTCAGC